CGGGAGGTGGGGGCGGGGCTCACAGTCACGCCTTCGGCCTCGCAGTACACCTGGAGGGGGCTCTTCCCATCCACGAAGGGCGTGTGGTGGAAGTTGATGGCGGGTGACTTCCTCTCCCTCTCCTAGGACAGAGGAGCAGAAGGGTGAGCCGCTTCCTTCCCATCCCTTCCCTCCAAGAGGGCTGTGCTGGGGCCTGAGGAACATGGGCCAAGACCATGGAACCAAGGGTCAACACAGCATTTATGAAAACCAAACCGCAGCAGCAGCCGTGGTGGCAGAACTTGCACTGGACCTGGACCGGCCCACGAGGACCGCGCCCCTGTGTATTCGCCGACCCCAGATGGGCCGGGCAGAGTTCATCACACTCCAGTCACGTGGCCTGGACAGTCCCCACCCTGAACCCACGGCACATCCCTCGGTGAATCCCAGGGGCTATGGGGAGGACCAGGGGAGGGGCTGCAGCTCGCATCCCCTGCAGGCCTAACCAGAAGAGTCTCTGGAGGACACAGGCCAGCGCTGCTGCCACTGTCCCCACAGGCAAGCCCACGTGGCCGAGGTCATCCACACATGGCGTGACCACACAGCTGCCCTGTCCTCCGGCGGTGGATGGGAGGGCTCTAAGAGGGGCTCCAGCTGGACTCCGAGGCCTCAGGTGCTGGCCCCAGACGGAGGCCTCGCGGTGTGTGTGGTGCTCGGCAGGGGCGGCCCCTGTGTGGGCCACTTCCTCCCAGCCCCACAGGTGGACTGCCCTTATCCTGAAACAATCACAGGGACGTGGCTGCTCACACCCAGCCTGAGCTGCCTGGTGGGATCCCCCTCCTCCCTCCTCCTGTGCAGGTCATGGCAGAGGACACAGAGCCAGGGACAGCAGGGCACAGGCAAAGGGCTCCCAGTCGCCGCATGGCCCCCACTGCCCTCACTCAGGGGCAAGAAACAAATGTCTGCCGACCACCGAGGCCTGGGCACGGCCGCACACCAGCTGCAGCAGGGCCACGGGGGTGGATGGAGGACGGACGTGCCGGCTCCTTGGGGGCGGATGGAGGACGGACGTGCCGGCTCTTCGGCCCACAGATCTGGAGCAGATGCTGCACTGTCACCCGTCGTCATTTTGTTTTGTTTCCCTGCATGACACCGAGCTCCACGGCCCATGTTCCCCATTGACACATGCTTTGGGTGGCCGGTATGAAGAGGTGGCGATTTACAGCCATTTGCCTCTTTCCTCCCTGAGCCAGCCTTTTGGGTTCATGTTCAGGGGTTTATGTGGGTTAGGAAGGCTGAGGACTGGATCCCTGACATGGCCACAGGCCACAGTGCCGGCCATTGGCCCAGCTACCTCAAGCTCCAGGATCCTGAACTCCAGCAGCTCATTTTGGTCTCTGGCATCCTGCACCTCGTGTCTAAGCCGAGCCTCTTCCGTCTCCATTTGTTTGATCTATAACATAAAAGATGCATGAGGTGAGGGGTCTGGTTCTCTCCCACCAGAGGTCTTGGAAGGACAACTCCAGGCTGACTGGACAGCGGCTGACTGGACAGCTGCTGGCTGTCGGGGAGGCCAGTTGGCTGGCCAGGTGCCCAGCCCTGGAAGCTCCTCACAGCCCTGGGTATGTTTGGGTCTGTCCTAGTGAGACGGCCCAGCCATCCGTTGGTGGGTGGGGCTGGGCAGGCAGCACCGCATACCACAAGCCAGGAGCCTGGAGGTCCTAGTGGGGCCCTGAGCCTGGGTGGCCCCTGGGCAGGGAGGGGGAAGGGAGGCGTCAAGGATAAACGTCTCCAACAGGGGCTGTGCACTGCAAGCCAGGAGCCTGGGGGCCTTAGTGGGGCTCTGAGCTAGGATGAGGAAGGGAGGTCGTGGAGGATAAATGTCCCAAGTGACTCCCCTCCCTGGTGCCCCTTGGAGCCCAGGCTGTGCCCAATGGAAGGAGTGGGTACCGTGGTCACCTGGCCACCAGAATTCACTTGGCTAATTAAGGGGTTGTTTAAGCGGAACCAGTTGGGAGTAAACCGGATGCAAGAGTCCCCCTTGCCTTCCAAAGGGTAAATGACATGGCCCATGGCACGTGTCCTCAGCAGCCTCATGGGGGCAGGGTCCACCAGGGGCAGACAGCTGTGTGTATGGACAGGGTCCACCAGGGGCAGACGGCTGTGTCCATCCCCTGCAGCTGAGCTTGGGGGACTGAGGGAGCTGCTCCAATGCTCAGGGGACCAAGATAAACTCAGGAGCATTGCATCCTTAGAGTGAGCTGGCTCAGGGGGAGCTGGACCCTCCCGCAGGGCCAGCTGTGTGCCGCTGCACAGTGGGCCTACCGTGGAAAACCTGCAGGGCCAGGAACGTGAGCCACTCCCATGTAGCCAGAGAAAAGCATGGCTCCAGGTGTGCACATGGGCACGTGTGTATGTGCACAAGCATTTCTGTGTGTGTGCCAGCATTTCTGTGTGCATGTGTTCAAGTGCGCGTGCAAACATTTCTGTGTGTGCCATGTTCAAGTGTGCATGCAGGCATTTATGTGTGTGTGCCAGCATTTCTGTGTGCATGTGTTCAAGTGCGCGTGCAAACATTTCTGTGTGTGCCATGTTCAAGTGTGCATGCAGGCATTTATGTGTGTGGGTGTTTAAGTGTGTGCCCTTAAGTGCATGTGAATCTCTGCCTGTGCCAGCATTTACTTGGCACACACAGCATTGTGCTGAGCCCTGTGGAAACAGCTCTTCTGATTTAAGAGATGTTCCTTGTGTCCACAGGAAACATGGGGGTGTCGTTCGCCATTCAAGATGTGAACCAAGCCTAAAGCAGGACCCCCAGAGGGCATGACCGGCCATGGGCTGACAGCAGTGCAGGGGCTGCGGTGGACGTCTCCGTTTGTCTAAAGCTCTGTCCTGCTGGCACACGTCAGACTCATCAGCCAGGCTACCCTGGCTTCTCCCCAGAGGGCCGCACCTGCCAGTGTGAGATAGTGCTGCCTCCTCAGGACACCTGTCCCTGCCCATGGACAAGTGGGGCAGGGGTCACAACACGGAGCACCCCTCACCCGTGTGTGGTAATGACAGCCCTGCTGGCCCTCCTGCCCCTGGACCCGTAGCCAGTCCCGCCCCAGACTCGGGCCACATCATCTGCTCCCACAGTTGCGGGGTGCACCCCTCTTGGGATGGCTCTGGATTGCCCAGACCTAAGTCTAGGGCCCTCGGTGCTGTGACCCCCTCTTTAACCCAGTGCATGGAGCAACTGAGCCAGGTGGGCCTGATGTGGTGGGGAGGTGCCCTGAGAGAAACCTACACTCCCTTCCCTGCACCCCAGGCAGAAGCTACGGCCACCAAGAGCAGCCTGGCCGCACGTCGCATGTTCTGATCTGTTTTTCGTCTGAGAAAGTCTTCCAGCCCACAAAGCCCGGGCCAGGGTGGGGGTGGGGGCGGGGGTGGGGCATCACTTTGGGAGCCTCTTGTCATCCGGGGCCAAGACAGCCTGGACCTGGGTCTGCCAGGTGACGCCCTGGCAAAGTCTCAAACACGCACTCGCTCAACCAGGCTGGTCCATGGGCTCTTCCCTGACGACCCTCCAGCTTCCCCACAGGCGTTGCTGGAAGGAGACTTCCCTGACCCAGCCAGGCTTCCCAGGGGGATGATCCCAGTGGTCTCAAAAGGGCACCTCTGTCACGATGCTCTAACCAGCCGACCCACAGAACCATCCGCACAACAGGACACGAATGGAGATGCTGCTGCAGACGGGCCTGCCCGGACCCCGGAGAACAGGCCCCAGCTCCCTCTGTCCAGGCCGTCCTCCTCCCCAGGGCTCCTGACAGGGTCCCGCAGGAGGGAGCAGAGCAGAAGGGGCCTGGGGCAGAGCCATTCAGAAGCCTCAGCCCTTGCTCCACCCTTCGCAGGGACCACTGCAGCCCCCAGGAGCATAGAGCAAGTCCCGCCAGGGTCTCCAGGGGTTCGGGGCTCACCTTTTCCACAAGCTCTTGATTTCTCCGGTACAGCGCCTGCTTTTCTTCAATCCACTTCATATCCTTGAAAATTGAATTGAAAGAAATAAAGACATGGAGAGAGGAACTCATAAACTAACGTTTAAATCGTGATGTGGCAGAACACCAAAGACCTGTCTGGTCAACGTGGCAAAGCCCCATCTCTACAAAAAAATACAAAAATTAGCCGTGCGTGGTGGCACATGCCTGTGGTCCCAGCTACTTGGGAGGATGAGGTCGAGGTTGTAGAAAGTTATGATCGCACCACTGAAGCTTGTCTTCAGGTGCAGCCAAATACCTCCCACCCACGTGTGCCCCCTATGCCCGCACAGATGGCTGCAGGCTCACCTGCCCCTGCTCTGCCAGGGCCTTCTCCAGGTCCTCGATCCGTGCCTGTGCCCTCTGCACTTCGGCTTGTAGCTGCTCACGGGTCTGTAGGACGGGAGGAAAGATACATCAAATTTTCTCTAAAAGCCAGACAGACAGCACACACACTCGCGAGATATCCGAAGGGTCTGTCTTTTGGTTCAGTTCATTGAGAAGTGACTGTTCACCCTTCCTTTGGAAGAGATGCTTTCTAAGAGAGGGAGAACTGTTTTCTGTTGTTGTTGTTTTTGTTTTTGTTTTTGTTTTTTTGAGACAAGGTCTGGCTCTGTCATCCAGGCTGGAGCTCAGTGGCACAATCTTGCCTGCCTGTAACCTCTGCCTCCCAAGTGCAAGTGATCCTCCCACCTCACCCTCCCGAGCAGCTGGGACCAAAGGCGTGCACCACCACACCCCGCTAATTTTTGTATTTTTTGTAGAGACGGGGTTTCACCATGTTGCCCAGGCTGGTCTCAAACTCCCAAGTTCAAGCAATCTACCTGCCTCAGCCTCCCAAAGTGCTGGGATTACGGGAGTGAGCCATTATGCCCAGCCCTGGGGGGAGAACTTTAAGGCTTATTTGAAGCAAGAGATCTCACTTAGATTCCAAGGGGAAATTCTGCAGGTTAATTTTGAGGACTTGTTAAGAGAAATCTTTGTTTACAGGATGGCACAGCTGAAGAGGATGACTGACGCCTAGTGTGTGCTCAGCCCTGCCAGGCGCCGGCCGGGCTTTGTTCGAAGGACTCTCCACACGGACCTGCTGGAAGCCCCGGCTGGTGTGGCTGCCTGTGCAGGAGCTGCCCTGCTGGAAGCCCCAGGTGATGCGGCTGCCTGTGCAGGAGCTGCCTCGGCCCAGGGCTCACTGCCTTCCTGAATTTTGTGTTCCTTAACTGACTCCCAGAGCCCGCCCCACGTCTGCAAGAAAAGCCCTGGTGCTTTCCCTGTCAGCATCCTGGTTTGTGAAGTCCCTCCCGAACGCCACCAAGGCTTCTAGCCAAGGTCTGAGCCACCCTCCCTTAATTCAGTTTGCTCTGGTGGCTCCGAACCATGGGGCATTTCACCCCACGGTGGCTCCTGCTCTCTCTGGGGATAGCTTCCAAGGGAGGGGTGCGTTTTGGGACAAGGCTTACGGTCAGAGGATCCATCAGCCGGGGTGGGGGATGGGCGAAGGCGTGGCCTGTGATGCCCCCGAGTGCTGGGTCCCAGCTCCCTGCCCCCAGGCCCTCCTGGGCTCCTGCCATCACCCTGACCTCTTTCCTCCCTTAAGGGGTCACAATCGTGGGTGTGAGCCCTTGGGTTGGAGAATCCTCAACAGAGGGAATTCTAGTGAGTCCTAACCCTGCTTCCAGACAGGGAAACGGAGCCCGCAGAGGGCTGTGGGCCCCCCGCAGCCTCAGGACCGTGGCAGGGATGGGCCCACGTCCATGTCTTCAGACACTTGTCCTCTCCCACCCCCTTCCTTATCCTGAGGCTTCCTCGACTTCCACAGTGAGGAGCGACATTTCCAATTATAATACAGAATCAGACTGCGGGATGCCGGCTAGTCTATTTTCTTCATTAATCTTGTCTGTATCTTCCAATTTCTAAAATAACCATGCAGCCCCTCTTGGCGTCAGTTTCCTCTAATTCTAAATGACATGAAAAAATTTTACATGCAATTTGGACATTTTCACTCTCTAAGCAAAGCTTCTGCGTTCTGTGTTTTCATGTGGCCCCCGAGCAAATGTTTCTCTGGCACCTGACAGGAAAAAGGGAAGACAGGACACTTCCTCCAGCTCCCCCAGCTCCTGGCGAGCTTGGCCAGGAGGATGTGGCTGCTGCCCCGCCCCTGCTGTGGGGGGAAAGGCTGGGCCCGTGAGGCTCTGGGCCGTCTCGGGGTTGCTGTGCTTTATGATGCTCTGAGCCAAGGCTTTGACTTTTTCCTTTCTCCAAGGGTCATGCAAAAATTAAGTCAAAGTGAAAGCAGCGATATTTAAAGTCCCCAGTTACGCAGACGAATCTCTCCGAGCCTCAGGAGGGGCAGTCAGGCCTCCCCACTCAGGACAGGAGGAGGGGCACGGAGGGGCAGAGAGCTCTCTTAATTTTCACAACAGACATCCCCAGTGCGGTGCCAGGAAGGCAGGAGGGAAACCAGCCATGTCACCAGGGTAGTCTAGGTGGACAGAGGGTGAGGCCAGCGGCTCCCTGGGGGCACTAGTGTGGACCACACTGGGGGTGCTCTGTGCACACTCTCCCCTCGCCCCAAGAGGTCCATTCCCCACCCAGCTCAGCCACCCTAAGTTGCAGAATTGCTGGACACTGGCGTCTCTGGCCCTGCAGGGTGGTTGTGGGGTGGGGGAGGCCGACAGGAACCCCACACCCCACAGCTGCCCGCTCTGGAGAACCCCTCAGCTCCCCCAGAAAGCAGCCCGTCTCGCTGTGAGGGGCACCAGGTGCAGGTCCTTACAGCGATTTCCCCTCCAAGCCTCAGGAAGTGAGGGGGGGTGGCGAGAGGACCCCCGATCTATGACCCATGCTCTCCCCACACCACCTGGTGCCTGCACTACCCCCCGCGGCCCGCAGAGGGCACCCGCCAGCCACACTGGGGCCTTTCCTGGGGGACGATGCTAAGATGAGCCAGGGGAAGCAGGTGGAGGGACACGGCCGCTGGGATCCTGCCCAGTGGGGAGGCCGGGGGAGAGGGGCCAGGGCCAGGGCCAGGGCAGGCACAGCCTGCGTGAGCATGAATGACCTCCGCAAGTTTCAACACTGACCTCGATGCTGCCATGGGTCACTGCCATGCTGCCAAGAGCGGGAGAGGAAGTCTGGAAGGAGACCCATCCTGGGCGTTGTGGGCCCCTGCCACCACCACCATCCCCCAGGACACTCACACCTGTGCCTGGCACTGCTCTGGGCCACCCTCCCACCTGGGCCAATTCCCAGCACCGGACTCCCCAATCCCTGGTTTTAATTGGTCTCCATGGGCACCATCAGGACCGGAGGCAAAGACAGGAGAGCAGGGGCTCAGACCCAGGAGGGATGGCGAGAGAGGTGTCCCAGCCCGGGCCATGGGGTCAAGCAGGAAGGCACAAGGGGGCCCGGAACGCGCGCGGTGGAAGTCATGTAGACCTTAACTTCTCGCTCTGCATCCAGCGTCCCTCCGACCTGCTCCTGCAACAAGGCATAGGCGCGCTGCAGGGCCTGGTACTCCATGGTCAGCTGCCGGAACCTCAGCTCCGTCTCCTCCTTGGCCATGCCCTGGAGAGACACGGATGCCACACCCGCAGAGACGCAGTGTCAGCGGCCAGCACCTCCTCCGACGGCGGGGCCCCGGGGCTTCCCTTCTCCCCAGACATCAAATGGTGTGTGGGGGGGTCGTCTCTCTAGCAGTGTGAGGGAGGGGACCCACGCCAGTGTGCAGGGAGGGGCGGCTGCCTGGGGACGCAGTGCTGTTTGGAGAAAGGTTTTCCCTGGAGAGGGGAGCCCCGAGCCCTGCAGTGGGAGCTGAGCCGGCTGCACGGCCGAGGCCAGGGTGAGACTGCTGGGCTGGTGGCCATGGCCAGGGGCTCAGCTGGGGCTCCTGCTTGCCAGCCAGGCTGCCCTGACCCAGCAGACCCTCCGTTACCAACCAGGCCTGCATACGCTCTGCTCTGCTGAAATGCGTCCTGGGAAGAAAGCTGGGCTTTGTGAAGGGTGTAAAGTACCCCAGGCAGCACGTCTCCTCCCAGGCGCACTCCTGCAGGCTCGCCCTGCTAGCTGCAGTGCCCCCCACCACCCCAGGGAGAAGACAGGTGAGCCTGGCCTTCAAAGGGTCCCAGTGGGCCCCCGGGGCTGAAAGGCTTGGCCATGTCCAGGAGTGACTGAGCCCAGAAACCTCAGCCTGGCCCAGTTCCCCTGCCCCACCCTGCACCTGAGGCTGTGCGAGAACGTCTCAGGTCCCTCAACAGGTCTGTGGCCACTGGGCCGCCCTCCAGGGTCTGCCAAGGGAGGCCCAATCCTTGGCTGTGCCATTGCCTGCGGACCCCACTCCTTGTCCCACGCCCACAGGGCCTGCATCCCACAACGCCAAATCCTAGCTTCCGACGTGGTGCTGAAATGGCTGCCTGGACCTGGGGGTAGCCGTCCTTCCGGAAGAAGGGGCTGGTGGGCAGAAACGCCTGTGCTGTTATCAGAAAGAAAACTCCGGCTCAACACCCCTCTCGCCCTAATGTGCTTTTGGCACTGGGACCAAACTCCCTGAAGAGTGTTTCGGACCCTCCTGGGGAGGCCCCTTAAGAAGGGAGAGCTCACCGTACCCCTGTGCAGAAGGGGCGGAGGCTCAATGGCAGGAGGAGGCAAGGTTTGGCCTTCATGGGAGCAAGAAGCGGGCCTCAGCCCACACCCCGAACCACGTCATCGGAGCTTCTCACCACGTCCAAGCCAGCTATCAGCGGGTCAGTGCCAGTGAGGGCTGCCAAGGGCTTCCCTGTGAAAAGCTGGCAGCCCACGCCCAGCCAAGCCCAGGACCCAGCAGGAGACCCTCGTTACCTCCTCCAAGCCCAGGACCCAGCAGGAGACCCTCGTTACCTCCTCCAAGTCGTCATCCGGGGTGCACGGGGTCTGGTCCGTCCTGTCTGTTTGGTAAGAGATGGAGGAACCGTCGGATTCCAGGGAGGCCTCTTCATCGTATCCAAAGAAGGTCTCCACAACAACCGGCTTGTGACCGAAAGGCAACATGTCAGTTCAAACCAGACCCAGGCACAGCTGCCTTCACCCGCCTCCTCCTCCTGCTGCCCAACGGTGGGGGCCACAGCCCCGCCCTGCAACACACTCCCGTCTCTGTCCCCGGCCGCCCTGGTGCAGGCCGAGGAGGTGGCCTGGGTGTGAGGGGGCTCTATATGGCAAGGCTGGCGGGGCAGGTGGGAGAGGGGCCTGGAGCCCCGTGGGCGAGCAGGTCCTGGACCTGCTCTCAGTGGTGAGGAATGAGGCCCTTCAGGGGGCGTCGTCCCTGCACTTCCCTGAGGGTGGTGCCCAGGATAATGGAATTGATGGTGGGTGCCTTCTCTGTGTGATCTCATTCCCAGTGATGCATTTCTGTTCTATTTTTTAAAGTTTCAGCCCTTGACTGATTGGAATAAAAACAAAAACAGGGTCCTCCGCTAGCTGGTGTGAGAGGCCCTGCCTTCGGGGACCCCCAGGTTCACCCTGATGTCTGCATCCTTAGGGTCCCCTCACCCCTGCTTTCGAGAATCGCAAGATTCCTCATCTGGGTTTAGAAGTGTTACAAAACGCAAAGCCTGCCATCTTCTCAGTCCCTTCCGCCGTGGCCACGGTGGCCTCCCAAGTCTCCTCCCAGTTCTTCTGCCAGAACTTTCCAGCAAAACTCCCTCTGGGACCCCAAGGCCACCGGCTTCTCCTACCCCCTGCCAACCGCTGGCGTCTGTCCTGTGTGCCTCCCCACACCCTGTGTCCTCCCTTCGCAGGGCCAAGGCATCTGCTGGACACGTCCACATCCCAGAGGGGCCCCGAGCAGGGAGGACCGGGACAGCTCCTCCTCCCCACCTTTCAGAGGGCAAGTGTTTGTGACCAAGGAGCATCTAACAACCTAACAGCAAACACTGCTGACTGCAGAAAAGCAACACACACACACACACACAGTCTCACACATACACACTCACACTCATACTCTCACACTCTCTCACACACACACACTCATACACACACACACTCATACTCACACTCACATACACATACTCTCACACTCTCACACACACTTATACTCACATTCACACAATCTCACACACACACACATGCAGACACACATTCACATGTACACACTCACATATAGACACATACATACACACACTCACGTAAACACACATACATATACACAAATGCACACACTCACACACACATACACACAGACACACACACTCAACATAAAGCAGGAGATGAGTTAGGTGCTTGGGCAGCTGCTCCAAAGGCTCCCTTAATAAAACACATAGGTTTATCACAAAGGATTCTACTGTAGAGAAATGACAGGCGTTCACATTTCCTGGGGACGTGGGTCTGCCCTGTGGGGCCTGTGGAGGAGGCTGCTACAGCCTGTAGGAGTGGCCGAGGATGGTGAACAGCAGGACAGGCGAGCGTGGGGTGTGTGCCACAGCCAGGACGGGTGAGTGTGAGCCGCCACAGCCGCCCGTCCTCAGAGCCACGCATCCCACGGGTCGTGGGGACTCGGACCTACACGAGCAGTGAGGACGCCAGAGCTGCCACCTCTTCATTGCTAGTGTTGCTGGTACAGTTGTTACCAATTCCTATCTTCTCTTGGAAATTGAAAGAAACAAGTTTACTAAAACTAATGAACAGAATATTTACTTTGGGTCTTATTTTGGTCATTTCACAGTAACAATTTTTAGAAATAATAAAAATTTTCTTTTCATCTCCAAAGACTGACTCCTATTAAGCACGCACCAGCAGGCTCTCCACACACATCAGCACTCTCCACACACGCAGGCACAGTCCTCTGCACACATACCCGGTGTACTCTCCACACACACACACCTGGCGTACTCTCCACACACGCGGGCACCATCCTCTGCACACACACCCGGTGTACTCTCCACACACACACACCCGGCGTACTTTCCACACACGCGGGCACCATCCTCTGCACACACACCCGGTGTACTCTCCACACACACACACACCCGGCATACTCTCCACACACGCGGGCACCATCCTCTGCACATACACCTGGTGTACTCTCCACACACACAGGCACGGTCCTCTGCACACACACCGGCGTACTCTGCACACACGCGGGCACCATCCTCTGCACACACACACCGGCGTACTCTGCACACACGCGGGCACGGTACTCTGCACACACACAACAGCGCTCTCCACACACGCGGGTGTGGTCCTCTGCACACACACCCAGTGTACTAGCATACTCTACACACGCAGGCACGGTCCTCTGCACACCCTCTGGATGTACTCTCCACACACAGAGGCGCGGTCCTCTGCACACACACTGGCGTACTCTGCACACACGCGGACACCATCCTCTGCACACACACAACAGCGCTCTCCACACACGCGGGCACAGTACTTTGCACACACACCCAGTGTACTAGCGTACTCTACACACGCAGGCACAGTCCTCTGCACACCCTCTGGGTGTACTCTCCACACACACAGGCGCGGTCCTCTCCACACACACCCGCGCTCTCCACACACGCGGGCTCAGTCCTCTGCACACACACCTGGCATACTCTCCACACGTGCTGGTGAGCTGTTCCTTACCTTGGGAAGTTTTGCCATTTTCTTTCTTTGCTTCCGGAATCTTAACAGCTTGTCCCGCTCCTGCAGAAGTCAGTTGAAGAGGTTGTGTAAGTGGTGGAAGAGCTCCATCAGTTTCAGTCCATGGTTTACTGCCCGCGTCCCATCATTTGGATGACAGGGAAGATGGTGTCCGGGCTGGCTGTCCCCACACCACAGTGGGAGGCCCTGGCTCCAGGTCTGCTGCTCGGGGAGCTCATGTCTCCAGGGTGACATGGGCAGCTCCCCGGTGAGGCGGGCTCTGAGCTTGTCTTGCTCAATCGTCCACCAGCCCCTCCTTCTGAATGCATCTGGGGGCCACACGGGGCAGATGACTTGAGGGGCACAGATTTGTGGGAAGCTGGAAGGGACTTATGACCACGGCCCCTCTGGACCCTGCAGGGGTGGCGTCCACATCTGTGTGGGGACTGACGCCCTCAAAATACTAAGGAGACCAGGGTCCTGCTGCTCTCCAGGGAACCCATGCTGTGGTTTCATGGCCGTGATGGTGAACCTCTTGGGCTGTGGCTGCCTGTCTGTGCTGGCCAGGGAGAAATGCATGGTGGGGTGAGCAGCCAGAGAAGGGCAGCCATCTGACCCTGGCCATTAACTCAGAAACACGATCGTCCCAAGCTGGTGCCATCTCAACTGGGGCATCAGTGGGCATCCCTAGCTCCTGTCTGACCCACTCCGAAGGGCATCAGCCACCCGTGCACGGCCTTGGCCAGGTAGCACTGCAACAACAAAATCCACCCGAAAGGCTGCCACGGCTGCTTCTGTCTGGTCTGTGAGGAGCTCTGGGCACAGAACGGGTCCCACGGGCGACTGTGTGGAGAGTGGGGGCGGGGGAGGCGGGCGCTGACTGTACTTACTAACACGCTCTTCACATAGCCGGCGGTCTCAAGGGTCTAGGAAAGGAAGACAGCACGTTACAGAACTGCTAAGGGCCCCTGTTAGCCAAGCCCCTTGGGAGCCAGAGGATGGTGCCGCGGCAAACAGCCCGCCAGGTACCTTAGATAGTTCATCTATGAGGTTTTGCTGCTCCACAATCTGAAGCTTCAAGAAATCGACTTCTCTCTCATCCTGACTTTGATCAAGGTCATTCAAGGAACTGGGTCTCCGTATGATTCCAGCTCTCTGTCTCTGGAACGCCAAGCAGCCCACATCACAAGTTGGGGAGTGAAGGGGTCTGGCTGAACACAGTGGGCAGGGGGTTCTCCCTCAACCCGCACTGCCCACTCTCAGCTGCCTGGCTGGTGGTCTCTGCTCAGGCCTCAGAACAGCCCAGCTGTGAGGCCCTGGGGAAAGGAGGCCACACGTAGGCCCAGTCCCGCAGCAAGAGCAGGTGTGTGCAGCCCGAACGGACACACATGGGCCCTGCTGGTCTCCCAGAACGCATGGCTGGAGGGGATCGCTCAGAGCCCTGAAGCTGACACTGGGTTGTCTGTGCCCATTTCCCACCCGGCCACCGCTCCCAAATCCCTCCTGACTTTAACTCAGTGTGAAAAGAAGGGGGCTTCCGTAGAGAGGGGTATGGAGGGCGCCTCTCCTCCACGTCCTGCTGAATTACTCGTTGGGTAAACTCTGGCTTCATGGCCTTCAGGGTCTTCAGGGCAGGGAAACGCAGTGACACTGGCTGATGGCCCCCCACTCCTGGCTCGTGGCCTTGGCAGAGCAGAGACCTCCCACCCCTGACTCCTGCCCGGTGCTGTGTGCCAGGCCTCTTCTCCTCCCCAACAGCCGGGACCCTGCAGCTTCTTACTACCTTCGCCCGGGATTTTCCGAATTGGAGGCGGCCTGTTCCAGGCCCTCAAGTGAGACGTGGGCAAACGGGCCTGGGGAGGGGATGCCCCACAGCCGCATCCTTTGCATGGTCAGGGCCTCCTTCAAGGCTCCCCTCCCCAGGGCTGGGCTTGGCGGTTGCTCCCCCTCAAACATGCGTGAGGCCAGACTCCAGCAGAAGGCCTGATGGTCCGCCTGGGACTAGCTGTCACGCTAAATCTCGCATGGAGAAGGGAGGAGCTGCTGCCTGGAGCGCGGGTGCGGCCGTGGCCCCACGGAGCCCCCCACCCCCTCACCATTTCTATGTTCTCCTGGGTGACGAATTTTAACTTGTTTTCCATTCGGCGTAAAGCGTGAGACAAATCCTCATTCTTCCGACTGAGGCGCTTGTTTTTATCCAGCAGTGGCTTGTACTGACTCTCGGCTTCTCTTACACGCTTTAACTGAAAGACAAAATTAATTACGATTGTTCTTTAAGTGGCAGGTCTCCACACAGAGTCTGCAGACTGACCAGAGCCTGGGCTGCAACAACGCAGTTCCTAGCCCACTATTTGGAAAGTCCATGCCTCCAAGAGGCACCCACTCGCCCAACGCCCAGGTGAACCCAAGCTCAGGGCTGGGCTCGGCGTCCGGGGCGGGTGAGTCCCGTCCCATTGACAGATGGGGATGAAGATGAAGACCAGCAGTCCGGGGCCAGTGCGTTGTTTTGCCAAGAAGGGCTGTGGTAAAACTGCCCAGCCCACTGGACCCTTGCAGACACGTGACAGCTCACACACCCTCCAGGATCTCAAGTTACCTGGAAATCTCAGTGGCTATAAGGACCAATGGTGACAACCCCACTGAGGGGCCGTGTCTGTACATCCTAGATCATCTACAGAACAGAGAAGGCTTCCGTCCCCAGTAACGCAGGGCAGGGGTTAGTCAACCAGCTCTTGAGGGGTAAATGTGGCCCCTATCTGTTTTTGCTAATAAAGTTCAACTGGAACACAGGAGACTTAGATGCAAGGCCGATCCTTGCAACCACCACTCCTTTTCACAAGGAATTTTGAAAGTGAACTTCCCCCAGGTCCCTACCTCCGCAGTCACAAACCCCCGGGAGCCAGAAGCCCCCGCCCGCGCTCACCAGCTCATTCCTCTCTTCCGACAGCAAGGCGTTGCGGTCCTCCAGTTTGCGGATAATCGCACTTAACTCTGCAATTTTAAGCTGGAAGCGCCGGGCATCTTTTTCATCCAACTGCTGTTCCTAAAACAAAAATCAACTGCAAATAACTGTTCCTACACACAGGCCTGGGAAGCCTTTGCAAATCCCAGCACGCTACAGGAACCAAAACCCTGCCGCGGGACGAGCGCCTTTGCCTCCACAAGGCTGCCGCGAAGGTTCGGATCCCCCAGGGGAAAGGCACCCGGCCTAGCACTGTGGTCACTGCAATTGCGTGAGGTGACAGAACCGACGGGCAGAGCAAGAGACCCTGCCTCAAACACAACAACTATTTTAAGATAACATAAAGTAAAATAACGAAAAGGAGCAGACATGTCTACAAGTATGCAGATGGAGAGGGCGGGGACGTGCAAATGCAGAAACCGCGAGTGTGGGTGATGCCAGAAAGACGCCGGCCAGCTCCCAGCCCTCTGCCTGGCCCTTGCTGCTGCCCCTTCAGGAGGGTGTGTCCCCTGCCCGGCGGGGCGGGATTTCTCTGGTACGATGACATGAGCACAGGAAAGACACTTGTTGGAGACTTTCAAAAGAGGTGACCTCCCTCAATGGGACTTCTAAAGGGCCACTTTTGGGACCCCTGGAACTTCACTCAAAAATCGGTGGAAACGTTTGAATCCAGTTTCAAATCCCTCTGGAGTGAATGCCGTCGTCTACCACACACCAGCAGGAGGGGCTGGATCTCATTCAACGGAGAAGTCTGAATGAGATCTTAAAATAATATTTTCTATTCTTGAGATATCGCTGTCCTAGGACCAGCTCAGCTCACACACAGTTTTGTCCTCAAAGCGAACAAGCAGCATCCAGGATGGTCCTGGGCCCGACTCGAGTTCCTCATTCAACAGGTGCAGGAGAGGCTCGGGGTCAAAGACCCAGAAGGACCAGCTGGAGGGTCCCTGGACTTCAGATACCCCAGGGTGTCCCAGAACCACGACAAGGATGTGAGTGCAGAGCAGCAGCGAGGAAGCGGGTGGAGCTCAGCCCGGGGTGGTCGGCAGACCCCACACGGCAGAGCGGCCCAGGGAGGAGCAGAGAGTGGCATGATCACATGAGAAGCAGGTGGGAGGGTGACTGGTGATGCGAGTGCCAGAAATCACCCTCGAGGGGCCAGCTGGGCACACGGTGGGCAGGGAGCCAGTGCGCCAGCCTTCCCGGGCCAGAGGCAGAGGCCGTGTGCTTGGAGATGGCGGCAGCGCATACCCAGCACAGCCTCCTCCCACCAACCCAGGGCCAGACCCTGGGCCAGCAAGTGCCATGGACTGCAGCAGAAGCCTGAGGCCGGGGCCCACGGGAGGGTGACAGGGCTGGGGCCGATGCTATGCTAACAGGAAGGAAGGAGATGAATCCACCAGCCCTCCGGGCCAGAGCCAGAGGAGCTGAGCACCTAGGGCCAGGCTGGGTGGGGAGGTGCCCAGGCAGGAGGGTGCTGGCTCGACTCGGGCTCTGGTCTCCTGGGGGAGTGGCCCATGCAGGGCCATGCAGCCACATGGCCGGGTCTGTGACACGGGGTGGGCCAGCGGGCCTGGGAGGTGCTTACAGGGCTTCCCGAGTGGTCTGAAGCGTCTCCTGCACCGGCTGCATGAGGAAGTTCCCGTCTGGGGCTGCCCGGGTGCCGGTCGGCCTCTCGGACCTGGGACAGCTGCTCATCTAGAGCCTCTTTTTGGAGCTGCAGTCTCTGAGCATGCCCGGCTTGAACCCCTAACTCTCTCTCCAGCACGAAGACTGCTCTGTCTTTAAATTTTATCTCCTCCATCTACAAGGAGAACAGAACACAATCACACAGGCGGCAGGACACGGATCTGCAGTTACCATAGAAACCAGCGCAGCCCTGCCAGGCTCCGGGCTCTGAGACCGGAAGCAAGAGCGGAGCATCCTGGACGGAGAGCAGGAGCCCCGGCCCTGGGCTGAGGCACGACGGAGAGCAGGAGCCCCGGCCCTGGGCTGAGGCACGACACCTCGGCTCCCATCAGGCCCTGGCTCAGCCGGCTACACAGAGCTGCTGCCAGCAGGGGACTCCTTCCTGACGGTCCCCAGACTCTGTGTGCTCTGGCACGGCACCCCATTCGGTGCTGTCCTGCTGGGGCCCTGGGTGCACATGGGGGTGGTGTTGTCTAGCAGAGTCGGCGGAAGCCACTTC